ACTGTTAATGAATACTATGTGAAGAAGGTTCTTTTAAAGGGAGTATTTGGACAGCTAAAGAAGCCACGGGGAATATAAGAAAATCAAGTGTCAAGGGCTGGGAGAAACAGCCCCGCGAAGGAATGGAGAAGACAATCATAATGCAGATCTATCTTGCTGCCTGTTGATTAGTATTATTAGTATTATATATGATTAGTTCTGAATCAAAATAACCATCTTTTAACGCTTCTTTATTTTTCCTTATTTACTTTTGCCCATATATATTTTGAGAACATGTTTTTTTTTAAAATCCTTTCCCTCTTTCTTCTTTTCTTAATTTTTTTTAACAATAATAATCAAAATAATGTAGTCAATAGCAATACCTACAGCAAATACAATGCAATGTACAGTATATAGTATAACAACTACGCTATAAATATCCCTGGTCTTATAACCATTCATTTAGCAACTGTTTGAAGTTACAGCGTCACTGAAAAAATGGTACACTTATGATATATCACAGCATTCTCCATAGTCACTTGGCCACTGGCATATATTTTCTATGATAGTAGTGTTACACAGTCATGATGTTACCTATTTTGGGTAATGAAATGTCTGCAAGAGAACAACCAAGATGAGAGAATATACAAAGGACGCCTCAATCCCCATTGCCATCGATAATGAATTCCACCAGTCCATCTTTGATCCAAGTCACTCCCAGTTTGGTCCCTTCCAGTTCCACCTCCTCCCCATCTTTGCCTTTTGGGTACCCACCTACCTGGTAGTAGCATCAGCTTCCCCCACACTTGCTACCACTGCTACACCTTCTGTACTGTGGGCCACTACTGTGCTGGTACCTTTTGCTCTGACTTCACTCATGCCCTACTCAGAGCTTCTATTTGTGTCCGGTCAAGTGCCTCCATTTGCCCAGGGCCATTTTGTATGAAAGAACACTGCAGTATAAAAATAATGCCCCAGCTGTTCTGTCATGAAAGAACAATTTAGCTAGAAGAAGGTGCCTGACTCAAAAGAAAGCAGGTAGAAGTCTCTAGCAAGGCAACATATAGTATAAAGGTAAAAGTTCCCCTTGTATATATGTGCTAGTCATGCCCATAGGAATGTAGGAGGTGGTAGTCATCTCCGTTTCAAAGCCGAAGAGCCAGTGCTGTCTGAAGATGTCTCCATGGTCATGTGGCCGAAGGGCCTAAACACCGAAGGGGCACGGAACACTGTTACCTTCCCACGAAAGGTGGTCCCTATTTTTCTACTTGCATTTTTACATGCTTTCGAACTGCTAGGTTGGCAGAAGCTGACACAAGTAATGGGAGCTCACTTCATTATGTGGCACTAGGGATTCAAACCGCCGAACGGTCAGCCTTCTAATTGACAAGTTCAGCATGTTAGTCACTGAGCCACTGAGTGCAGAGCTAAATGCCAGTGGCAACTGGCAGCAGCTGAAAAGTGTGGGGTCAAAAGATTATCATAAATGTGGGTTGGCCTGAGTGAGCCCAAATTTTGTTCACGGGACCTCAGGAGCACCGCAACAACCAGAACTTCAAGGACTGGTCTTAAGTCCCTTTGTTCAGCACCCTTATAAGTAGCTAAACTAGTAACTGAACCTAGTAGTTAATCTAGGTTTTCTAGATACAAGAAATGCATTCATTTCCCAATTGATCTACATTTTAAATACATTTTTAGTTGCTCTGAAGGTCTTGGAGGCAGCATCACATGAATTTTTAAAAATCTGTTTTCATATGTATATTCTCTAGTTAGGCTATATTTCAGCCATCAACCACTTTATATATTTTCCAAAACAAGAACAACAAATAGTACTATGTTGTGTAAACAATGGACTGAGTTTATGTATGTATATGTTGAGTAATTGTGTTGTAGGGCATCATGAACAATTTTTAATGTGAAAAAAGAGCTGCTTTTTGCAGATAATTAAATGCTAATAATAGTAACTTGTTAACAGTGTCCTGTAATTCAGGGTTTGATACTTAAGTAAAAAAGATGAATGTCAAAGCAGAAAGTAAATGAAAAGAGAGGGAATATCGAATACTTATTTTCAAAAATGGAAGAAGCAATTATTTCCCTTTAGTGGATCACTCTTAAAATGACATTTTAACTCCAGGCTCATTATTTTTAAGAAAAATGTAAGTGTGGGAATTTAATGACACAAATATAGACTTAATAAGATTTAGGGAAATCCATTTAAGATGAAGGATTAAAGGGAATTTAGTACATTTATATCTTATACAAAGAAAATGCAAATGGATAATGTATACATCTCCAAGGTAATACCCAGAAGAGAGAACATATTAGAATGCTATTTTTAAAAAGTCTACTATTTAGTCTTAGAAATAGTATTTTGTGGGAAAGCACTTCATCAAAAAAGCTGGGTTGATAGTGTGTGCAACAGACCTAGAGATACACACAAATGAGAATCAGCTGATTAAAGTACAGAAAAGAGATTTACCATGACCTAAAGATGCCATGTGATTAACTATGCTTATAAGTCTTAACCATCATTCTTAACCTGAAGTTATCTCCAAGTCAAGCAGGACCCCTGATACCTTTATGAATGCATTCGCATAATTTCTTTAGCAACGGTATACTTTTTGTAAACTTTCTAGTTTATCCCTGATATTAGTAACTTTCTTAGCTTCTGAATTCAGGCATAGCCTAGCACCGTGATGGCGAACCTATGGCACGCGTGCCACAGATGGCATGCAGAGCCCTCTCTGTGGGCACGTGAGCCATCGCCCCAGCTCAGCTCCACCATGCCTGCGTGTGCGCCTCCCGCCAGCCAGCTGGTTTTCAGTCTCTGCCGCACATGCACAGTGAGTGGGGTGCATGCAGGAGAGGCGCACACATGCGGGGGGGGGGGAGTTGGAGCATAGAGGTCTGATTTATTGAGTACATAATTTCGGCACTGATTGTCCTTAAACCAGCTCTAGTTATTTCTTGAGGTTTCAGTATAATTAAACGTTAGAGATTCCCTCCGCCCCTAGTGTCACAGGTCACATTATCCAATTGGGTGTTCTGGTGTCTCCTTGGCAACCAGTCTCAATGTCTGGCCGGCACCTGTTGGGAGCAACCTTGGTTCCCATGAGATAGTAGATTGTTTTGGCTAGTTTGCATTCTACTACTCTCCCCAGACCCCGAGCTAAGTGGCAACTTGAACAATGGAAGGTGACTCCCACTGGCTCAATCCATTTCAGAGTTGACATGAACACAAAGTCAAGTGCTGATGTCCATGTGTCAGGAAACTAGAATTAGAGAACAAATGCCACAGTATATTAGAAAAATCAA